AATGAAGAGATTTTAACTAGGAAAACTTAGGGTGTGTTTGGTTTTGTTCTGTAAAATTATTTTTTGTTCTCAAAATTTTAAAAACACCCAAAACTTATTTGCTTATTATTTTTGTTCTCAAAATTTTAGAAAGAAATAATAATTGGAGCAAAAAAAAAATAGAAAACAAGTTATACTTGTTTTCAGAGTTTTTTTTGAAAACGTTGGAAACATGGAGATAGTTTTGGGTCTTTAATAAGGTATGTCCTTCAAGTCCTCTTAGTAGTAAAATGCTTCCTTTCTTGTTAAATTCTTTTCCCCTTCCCTTCTCTCTCCCTCTCTCTCCAACATCTTCTTCTCCAGCGTCTCCATCTCTTTTCTCTCTCTCTCTTTGCAACAACGCTGTGCAACGAAGATGGAGCCCTTCACTTAGGACATGTTTTCTCCATCTCATTTCTCTCTCTGTCTGCAACGATGATGTGCAATAGAGATTTGCGTCTCTCTCTCTCTCTCTCGCAACAATCAAAATTTAGATCTACATAGGTCTGAAGCACAGATCTGTGTATTTCTGAATTTGGGTCTGAATCTGTGTGTGTATGCGTGTGTGTGTGTGTATGTGTTTTGTGTGTGTGTATGTGTTTATGTGTGCGTGTGTGTGTGAGTTTTGTGAAAATAGAGAAAGGAGAAAGAAAGATAGAAATGACAAATTGTGGGTTTTGTGGATTATTGTCCAAACAAATTTTACAAATTTTTGTTCTTTAAAACTATTTTTCAAAAATATATAACTAAACAAGTTTTGCAATTTAAAAATATTCAAAAATATTTTCTTAAAATTTTTCTCAAAAATAATTTTTGGATATTATTTTTTGAGATGCAAACCAAACAGACCCTTAATCCTTCTGTGTTTCTTATTACTAAAACTGATAATAGATCATACCATGTTGTATTCATGTTGTGTCTAAGTTATATCTTGTTTAAATTTGTCTCAATTCATATCTAATCTATTCATGGTTGAATTCATTTTTGTATTATGCGAGATTTATGTCGTGTAATGTTGAATTCGTATTCANACAAGTTATACTTGTTTTCAGAGTTTTTTTTGAAAACGTTGGAAACATGGAGATAGTTTTGGGTCTTTAATAAGGTATGTCCTTCAAGTCCTCTTAGTAGCAAAATGCTTCCTTTCTTGTTAAATTCTTTTCCCCTTCCCCTCTCTCTCTCTCTCTCTCTCTCTCTCTCTCTCTCTCTCCAGCATCTTCTTCTCCAGCGTCTCCATCTCTTTTCTCTCTCTCTCTTTGCAACAACGCTGTGCAACGAAGATGGAGCCCTTCACTTAGGACATGTTTTCTCCATCTCATTTCTCTCTCTGTCTGCAACGATGATGTGCAATAGAGATTTGCGTCTCTCTCTCTCTCGCAACAATTAAAATTTAGATCTACATAGGTCTGAAGCACAGATCTATATATTTCTGAATTTGGGTCTGAATCTGTGTGTGTATGCGTGTGTGTGTATGTGTTCTGTGTGTGTGTATGTGTTTATGTGTGCGTGTGTGTGTGAGTTTTGTGAAAATAGAGAAAGGAGAAAGAAAGATAGAGATGACAAATTGTGGGTTTTGTGGATTATTGCCCAAACAAATTTTACAAATTTTTGTTCTTTAAAACTATTTTCAAAAATATATAACTAAACAAGTTTTGCAATTTAAAAATTTTCAAAAATACTTTCTTAAAATTTTTCTCAAAAATGATTTTTAGATATTATTTTTTGAGATGCAAACCAAATAGACCCTTAATCCCTCTGTTTTTCTTATTACTAAAACTGATAACAGATCATACCATGTTGTATTCATGTTGTGTCTAAGTTATATCTTGTTTAAATTTGTCTCAATTCATATCTAATCTATTCATGGTTAAATTCATTTTTGTATTATGCGAGATTTATGTCGTGTAATGTTGAATTCGTATTCATATATAAAATATGCATAATTAATCAATCTTAATATAAATCGAATTAAAAAAAGACTAAATTCATACTTAATAACCTCGTTTTGGATAACATAAGATTGTTAGGTTATCCCAATCATTAAACTAAAAAATCATAGACTTTAAAAAAAAAAAAAAAAAAAAAGCTAAAAAATCATTAATTTGAAGAGTATTAAAAAAAACATTAAAATAAAATAGAATCTTCATGGTATGACTTACCACGTGGATGTGCGTCAGAAGGAAACAATTCATAAAGAACCCTATCCAAACCGACAAGAATGATTCGCTGACTCGGATTAGTGTCATTGTTACATGTGGTTGTGGATAAGCCTGAAGACCAATTCCTAGTACCTCCTAAATAAAATAAAATTGTATTATTTTCCTAGGAATTGCTTATTACCATAACCACGTAAACAAACCACGAACCAACCCGTTCGATTAAATATTTCTTTTTTCTTTTAATTTTTTTGTTAAGAGGAAAAATTAACGATTTATTACTAACAAGTAGAGACGTATTTATGTCACTCAGATTCATGATTTTGAATAAAACCAAAGATAAATCTCGAATGCATGAACATGTCTCTCAACTTATACACTAATTAAATCATGACTTATATTTCGATGGGGGTTCGAGCTCGTATCAAATATTTTTGTCCAAATAACGGAGATTTGTCTTTTCAATCAACCATGACATTCTGTAAATAAAATTTTTACAAGATAAGAAGTATTATTGGACCAAAAAAGCATTCATGTTTTGTTAAATATTTAATGTAACAATGACATTATTTTGTTAATAGCATAAAATATTTATTATTAATTTTTTTTCGAGGAAGAAACTTGTTTAGTGTAAGGAATACCCCAGGGCTATTTGTTTTCGGGATAAGGGTGATTTTAGAGAAATAGTATGTGAGGCCTACTTTATATTTTGTTTATTTGACATTTTTTACTCAGTATTATTTTTCGGATCGTAGTACCGATCCGGTGTAAACAGTGATTTTAATACCTTCTATATAGCACTAAGTAATACCACTTATCAGGTGGTATTATATTCTCGATATAAGTGCAAGGACGGTATAAGCGAATAAAATGACACAAATGTCCTTCTACGTGAAGAGTTTACGTATAAAAAATTTATTTTAAATTTTTTTTTATATTATATTTAAGCGTACGGTGTCATCTATTTTTTTTATAAATTTTAAAAAAAAAAATTATTTTGAGGCGAACGGTGTCGCTGATTTTTTTTAAAAAATTATTTTAAATTTTTTCCTTGTATTATGTTTAAGCGTACGGTGTCACCGATNTGTAACAATGACATTATTTTGTTAATAGCATAAAATATTTATTATTAATTTTTTTTCCAGGAAGAAACTTGTTTAGTGTAAGGAATACCCCAGGGCTATTTGTTTTCGGGATAAGGGTGGTTTTAGAGAAATAGTATGTGGGGCATATTTTATATTTTGTTTATTTGACATTTTTTACTCAATATTATTTTTCGGATCGTAGTACCGATCCGGTGTAAACAGTGACTTTAATGCCTTCTATATAGCACTAAGTAATACCACTTATCTGGTGGTATTATATTCTCGATATAAGTGCAAGGACGGTATAAGCGAATAAAATGACACAAATGTCCTTCTACGTGAAGAGTTCACGTATAAAAAATTTATTTAATTTTTTTTTTATATTATATTTAAGTGTACGGTGTCATCTATTTTTTTTTTATAAATTTTAAAAAAAAAAATTATTTTGAACCGAAGGGTGTCGCTGATTGTTTTTTAAAAATTATTTTAAATTTTTTCTTTGTATTATGTTTAAGCGTACGGTGTCACCGATTTTTTTTTTTTTATAAAAAAATTATTTTAAAATTTTTCTTTGTATTATGTTTAGGCGTACAATATTACCATTTTTTTTTAATTTTTTTTAAAAAATTATTTTAAATTTTTTTCTTGTATTATGTTTAAGCGTACGATGTTACCGATTTTTTTAAAATTATTTTAAATTTTTTCCTTGTATAGATGGTTAAGGATAAAATAGAATGAAAGATGTTAAGGGTAAAATAGTATATTTGTTATATAATATGTAATAGAATAAATGGTTATTTGTGAAATCCACTATAATACTTATTAAACAAACAAATAAAGAGAATGATAAGTTATAAGTTTAAGATCGAATATAATATATCATAAATTAAAATAAAAATAATTTTTAATACCACTCAAATTTAATACTACAAACAAACATGCCCAGAGGCCAGATGGGACGGACCAATAATAGAAAAAGCTAGTCCTTATCTCTCTAACACCGACCCATCTATTTGGATAACGTTGCCACCTCTCTCTCTCTCTCTCATCCGTATACACAGCTATATATACACACCCTCAAATGCACACATTCCTCCATATCCATTTGCACCATTTTTCTGTTCATTTCTTCAGCNTTTTTTAAAAAATTATTTTAAATTTTTTTCTTGTATTATGTTTAAGCGTACGATGTTACCGATTTTTTTAAAATTATTTTAAATTTTTTCCTTGTATAGATGGTTAAGGATAAAATAGAATGAAAGATGTTAAGGGTAAAATAGTATATTTGTTATATAATATGTAATAGAATAAATGGTTATTTGTGAAATCCACTATAATACTTATTAAACAAACAAATAAAGAGAATGATAAGTTATAAGTTTAAGATCGAATATAATATATCATAAATTAAAATAAAAATAATTTTTAATACAACTCAAATTTAATACTACAAACAAACATGCCCAGAGGCCAGATGGGACGGACCAATAATAGAAAAAGCTAGTCCTTATCTCTCTAACACCGATCCATCTATTTGGATAACGTTGCCACCTCTCTCTCTCTCTCTCTCTCTCTCTCTCTCTCTCTCTCATCCATATACACAGCTATATATACACCCTCAAATGCACACATTCCTCCATATCCATTTGCACCATTTTTCTGTTCATTTCTTCAGCTATATTGGTTCAGATCTCCTTTAAATCTGATTCTATTGAAGAGAAAGACAATACAAAGAAGAAAAATGTTGGCTATATTCAAGAAGAGTTTGGTTAATCCACCACAGGAGCTGAATAGCCCAGCCTCATTGCAATCATCAAAAAAGCCTAAGCTTCCTGAAGAGACTTTGAATGATTTCTTGTCTTCTCATCCAAGCAATGCCTTCTCTATCGGCTTTGGGGACAAGGCATTGTTGGCTTATGCACCACCCGAACGACCATACCCGAATCGCAGGTATTATCTACTTCCTTTTGTCATCGTATCAAATGCAGCCATTAATCGATGTAGATCTCTGCCTGTATTGAATGTAAAAGATCCGAGGATGATCTCTTTCGGACAGTGTCCGTAAAAGAGTTTTTAGATCGGCGGGGATCCATCATTTCTGTATACATATGCATATATATAGAATAATGGAAATGGATCATGGGTATCTTTTCATGGTGTTGTGTCAACCGTACACAACAATGGGTTTCTCAGAATGAGAAACTTATGGGAAACATTCAATCATATGTATACATTGCATCTACCCTTTTTGAAAAATAACATACATGCACATGATTTTTTGAAGTTTGGGCTAAAGTTTTCCAAAACAATCCTATCCGTGTCAAATCTTAGTTACACGATTAGAACAAGGATTAGGATTAACCATCCCACTAGAACACAAAATAAGGCATAGGAGTGATGTGATCGAATCTTAATTACATTGTTGTTATGTTGGACCTTGGCCCAACTGTAGGGGTATGAGCTCCACATGTGTTCCCATCCATTAAGGGGTTCAATATAGTAGGCCCATTTAAATAGGTTTTTTGTATTGCAGGACTCTTGTTATTCTTAGGTTTGAAAAGAGTTAGTATACGAAAAAATATTTTTTATGGCTCAAACCATGACCCCTATATTACAATAGAACAATTTTACTATTACAATAAGACCCGCCTCTAACAAAATGTGCTCAGAGTCTTTTGCATTAATAGACACCCAAAAGACCAATTTAACCAAGTCCCATTATTAAAGTAGTAGGAGTTATTTGGTAATAATATTCATTACTTAAAATGGTTCTTTGGAGCATTAATATTTTGACTGAAATGACTTTGAGAAAAGATTGTTCCTAATCCTTGTTCTGTTTTGTAAAACAATACATGTAGGTTGTTCTGTGGTTTGGATGACATATACTCCATCTTCTTGGGGAGTTTGAACAATCTGTGCACCCTCAACAAGCAGTACGGACTATCAAAGAATGACAATGAGGCTATATTTGTCATTGAAGCATACAGAACCCTCCGCGACCGAGGCCCGTACCCGGCCCATCAAGTCCTCATGGATCTTGAAGGCAGCTTTGGATTTGTGCTCTATGATACCAAAACTGGAACTGTCTTTGCTGCTCTGGCAAGTTCTCTTCACCATGTTAAACTGTACAGTAGGGAGTGTCCGTCATTGATGGTGCTATATTAAACAATAATTTTANTCTGGCAAGTTCTCTTCACCATGTTAAACTGTACAGTAGGGAGTGTCCGTCATTGATCGTGCTATATTAAAAAATAATTTTTAATCGTTATTGTAAAAATAATAAAATAAAAAAACTTTATACGTGTTGCATTTTTTTTGGATCAAAAAAAGAGTTATGATACTAAAAAATTATTTTTTGGTACGACCCTTCTTTCATTTACTTACAGTATAAATTATATATATCTTTTTGGACAGGGTGCTGATGGTGGAGTGAAGCTTTTCTGGGGTATAGGAGCTGATGGGTCTGTGGTGATTTCTGATAATGTGGAGATCATAAAAGCAAGCTGTGCCAAATCATTTGCTCCTTTCCCAACTGGTATGTGACGTTTGTGTTGGTCAGATAGTAATCAGTGGAAGAAACCAAGAAAAAAAAATGCATAACTTTTACTGCTCATAGTTCATGCTGGTACTAAGCTAGCCTAATTGAAGTACTCTGTTGGCAGGGTTGCTAAATGCCAATCTAACCTTCAAGTTGGGTGGGTATTTAGGAGAAATCTATGAGACAAAACATGAACACGACTAGATATGAATCTGAATATGGCTCGACTAAATAATGGAAATTTTTATGGGTTTGATTAATGTTTGACATTTATAATCCATTTAACAAATATTTGAAGAAGAAACGTATAGATCTTTTATTATTATTATTATTACTATTATTATTATTTTTTGGTTTCTTGATTTAGTATTGTATGAAAAGTCCTATAATTAACTTTTTTCAACACGAATACAATCTGACCAGGCTCAGTGACACAACACCCCAGTGTCATACTTGTCAAATATATCTGAAGTGAGATATATTAGAGATTTTTCATGTACTATAAAAGTAATAATGTTGTCCGATGAAGTCCATAGATTCCTAACTAAGGTTCGAGCTTCGACACCCACTTTCGTAATTATATATTGAAGCTCTTGCTTGCTAAAAACGTGTCCACACTAATCAAATTACGAGATTTTATATGTACTATAAAAGTAATAATGTCGCCCGATGAAGTCCATAAATTCATAACTTAGGTTCGAGCTTCAACACCCACTTCCCTAATGATATATTGAAGCGCTCTTGCCGAAACATATTGTTAGACTCGTAATGAAAAATGCGTTTTATTTATTAAAACATGAATGCACAGATAATCTAACCAAAAATTNGTCCATAAATTCATAACTTAGGTTCGAGCTTCAACACCCACTTCCCTAATGATATATTGAAGCGCTCTTGCCGAAACATATTGTTAGATTCGTAATGAAAAATGCGTTTTATTTATTAAAACATGAATGCACAGATAATCTAACCAAAAATTTCAAAAACATGCAGGGTGCATGTATCATAGTGAGAGAGGGCTGATGAGCTTTGAGCATCCAATGAACAAGATGAAGGCAATGCCTAGAATTGATAGTGAGGGGGTCATGTGTGGGGCCAACTTCAAGGTTGATGCCTACTCAAGGATTAGCAGCATGCCAAGAGTTGGAAGTGAAGCAAACTGGTCTACTTGGGGACAACAGGCTTGATGAATAACATTGAAACATTGACNGTTGATGCCTACTCAAGGATTAGCAGCATGCCAAGAGTTGGAAGTGAAGCAAACTGGGCTACTTGGGGACAACAGGCTTGATGAATAACATTGAAACATTGAGTACATGACTCCCCCCAAAAAACTCACATCCAGATTTAATACTCCTTTCTCTTTTGGTGTTTTTGTTCTTTCTTTCTGCATGTTATGTTTATTGTTTTTGGTGAACCTCTTTGTTTGTAAATTTGAACAAGTGTCCCCTTGAATGGAGGAAATTTCTTAAAGTTGGTCCATGCTAATGTGTGTCATTGCATCATGCTCTGTTTTAGTCTCATTCCAATAAGCCTGTCTGAAAAAATCTTTCAAGGCATGTCTGGACGATCGGGGGGATAAAAATTCCTTCAAAACCAGCTCAAGAAAATTCTACATAGGATTCAATTATAAATTTAATCCAATTTCGTGTTAGGTAGGTGACTTGACATAATTATATTTGGGTCCATAGATACTTAATTTACTAAAATTGTCATTATTAGGTGAATAGAAGAATAATTTTTTTGGGTATAATGGTCTTTATGCCTTCAAATTCAATCTTTTAACTTTTGAAACCCACCCCTCATGGTTTGATTAAACCCTCATACTTGGCTTTTAATGTACTATTTATTGTGGACCAGGGCAGGCCAGAACATGAATCCTGAATTTAAAAGTCCTAACCAACTATTCCATCCATTCCTAAATATCTGTCGTTTAAAGTTTTTGCACAAANTGCTCTGTTTTAGTCTCATTCCAATAAGCCTGTCTGAAAAAATCTTTCAAGGCATGTTTGGACGATCGGGGGGATAAAAATTCCTTCAAACCCAACTCAAGAAAATTCTACATAGGACTCAACTATAAATTTAATCCAATTTCGAGTTAGGTAGGTGACTTGACATAATTATATTTGGGTCCATAGATACTCAATTTATTAAAATTGTCATTATTAGGTGAATAAAAGAATAATTTTTTTGGGTATAATGGTCTTTATGCCTTCAAATTCAATCTTTTAACTTTTGAAACCTACCCCTCGTGGTTTGATTAAACCCTCATACTTGGCTTTTAATGTACTATTTATTGTGGACCAGGGCAGGCCAGAACATGAATCCCGAATTTAAAAGTCCTAGCCAACTATTCCATCTATTCCTAAATATCTGTCGTTTAAAATTTTTGCACAAAAATTAAGGAAGTTATTAAATAGTTCTAATATGAGTAAAAAATAATTACACAAGACTAAAATACCCTTATTCTACGTATTGGGAAGGAAAGAAATATGAAAGACACTTAGCCTTCACTTAATCTACTGCATTGAAAAGTTAAAGGTAAATTTGGAAGAAAAAATATTAATTATGTTTTGGTTTCATTAAACGACAGATATTATGGAACAAAAAAAATTGTACAAAATGACAAATAATTAAGAACGGAAGGAGTATGAAATTTATCGGACTACTTTTTTTAATCCTCTTTCAAACCGNAAAAATTAAGGAAGTTATTAAATAGTTCTAATATGAGTTAAAAATAATTACACAAGACTAAAATACCCTTATTCAATACGTATTGGGAAGGAAAGGAATATGAAAGACACTTAGCCTTCACTTAATCTACTGCATTGAAAAGTTAAGGGTAAATTTGGAAGAAAAAATATTAATTATGCTTTGGTTTCATTAAACGACAGATATTATGGAACAAAAAAAATTGTGCAAAATGACAAATAATTAAGAACGGAAGGAGTATGAAATTTATCGGACTACTTTTTTTAATCCCCTTTCAAACCTCCTTAGTAGGGAAAGATTAGTATACCCCACCTCGAGTAAAGCCAAGGTATTAAAAAATAATTTTACGGTAAAGTATTAAAAAATAATTTTAAAGTAGCAAGTCATAGTTACTACAAAATAATGATAAAGTCACAATTCGATAAAAGGCAAGTTTCAATAAAATGGACTTATTTAGAATCAGTCTTGACATTTGAGGATTCATCCTCTTTTTTTCCTAATAAAATGATTTCATTTATTTTGTTTTGACCCAAACAACATTATTTGGTGACTACTTTCAAGCAAAGCTTGTCAACGAATTTGATTTGAATTAGATTGTAATTTATTTAAATTTGATTGTGACTCATATTCAAATCCGTTAATAATTCAAAATTTGATTTAAATAATTTAATTAACTAAATTTTAACAAATTATACCTAAATTTCAACTAAATTTTTTTAAATAATCACCTTATTTCTTTAATATTTATATAAAAATACATAAATAATTTAAATCGGATATATATATATATCCAAATCCAAATCCANCCTCTTTTTTTCCTAATAAAATGATTTCATTTATTTTGTTTTGACCCAAACAACATTGTTTGGTGACTACTTTCAAGCAAAGCTTGTCAACGAATTTGATTTGAATTAGATTATAATTTATTTAAATTTGATTGTGACTCATATTCAAATCTGTTAATAATTAAAAATTCGATTTGAATAATTTAATTAACTAAATTTTAACAAATTATACCTAAATTTCAACTAAATTTCTTTAAATAATCACCTTATTTCTTTAATATTTATATAAAAATATATAAATAATTCAAATCGGATATATATATATATCCAAATCCAAATCCATAAAATATAAAATATCAGATCCGGGTTTAAATTATCGATAAATCCATTGACAGGCCTACTTTCAAGTAGACTACTCATAGTTGTGTCAAATGTGTCTTCAATCCTGGTTCCATGGATGATAGGGGTTACAATCACTCTAAATATAACCCCTACACAAAAGAAACACTGGAGAAAATAAGGATAGAAGGTGGAACATACAATTGCTTGCTTGCAGCACACCACAAAATATCCGAAAATCATATTGACAGAAGAATGAATATTCATTGCAGAAAATCATTCCCAACCAAACAGATATCTCGGTTCCTACTGCTAGATCTGCATATAAATACATGTCTAAAACGATCTTCGCCTCTCGTATTAGAAAGTCAAAAAATTATAAAAACTAATGCAACCATATTGGTTATCAAAATCTAGGAGTAAATGCCTAGATATGAATCAGAAGAAACNTTTATATAAAAATATATAAATAATTCAAATCGGATATATATATATATCCAAATCCAAATCCATAAAATATAAAATATCAGATCCGGGTTTAAATTATCGATAAATCCATTGACAGGCCTACTTTCAAGTAGACTACTCATAGTTGTGTCAAATGTGTCTTCAATCCTGGTTCCATGGATGATAGGGGTTACAATCACTCTAAATATAACCCCTACACAAAAGAAACACTGGAGAAAATAAGGATAGAAGGTGGAACATACAATTGCTTGCTTGCAGCACACCACAAAATATCCGAAAATCATATTGACAGAAGAATGAATATTCATTGCAGAAAATCATTCCCAACCAAACAGATATCTCGGTTCCTACTGCTAGATCTGCATATAAATACATGTCTAAAACGATCTTCGCCTCTCGTATTAGAAAGTCAAAAAATTATAAAAACTAATGTAACCATATTGGTTATCAAAATCTAGGAGTACATGTTTTGCGGTCAACAACTCCAACGATTGAAATGCCTAGATATGAATCAGAAGAAACTTCTTGGAAGAATGGAGGCGAGTCTTCTTGGCCTCTGATCAATGACCCATCAACAAGTGAACATTTGGAAAATCTGGATCTGATTTGCTAAATCTACTAAAAGCTCACAACAGTTGGGGCACATCGAAACATGTTTTGCTCCAATCAAAGGATCATTTTCCACAGAAAGGAAAGCAAATAAATGATGTCAATCTAGCGATTAGCCAGCCAATTAATCCGAAGCAACAAATATCTGCAGCATGCACAAACAATATATCAGAATGATAATTCAGCAGAAATATGGCTCCAGAATCCAAAAGAGAAAACGCAAGATACAATTCTTTGACAACCTTTCAGGCAGTCACAACAATGCAGAGTTCAGCCAGCATCCAATCAGGTTAGCTAAGCCGCCAACAAGAATAATCTAACATAAATTCACGTGTAAAAGATATATATCTGCTATTCTTTATTAGACTTTTCCCTTATCATTTTTCTTTTATCTTGGGCACGAAACTGCGNTCTCCAGGAGGAGAAGGGAAAGGGTGTTTTGGCGGACAATAGATATGAAATTCATAAATAATAGAACATAAGTAAACACTGAAGAATGAAAAAGGAGGGGATGGGTTAGAATGCGAGTTAGCCTAGAAGAACACTCCATTTTCACGAGTCTTGGCTGGTTGAGCAAAACAACTCCATTAAGATATCCAACCTATGGACCAAACTGGTCCCAAAAGCCATTGCCAAACAGGGATTTGATGGTAGTTCAAACTATCATAAGAATTCTATGTTGGGTTACAGCACAATACAGATAACTAACCTCCAAATCCAGCAATGAACCGTAAGTTCTCTTCTCTCTCATGTCAAACAACGTTATGCCTGTGATTTTCTGGACCCCAAGTTTTGTAGCAATCAGGTTCTGCACAAAGGCACCATTGCTGAGACATGGAAAAGTGCAACAAACAATGAAATTCGTCTTTTTTGGAAAATAATTCCCTCCTTGGGATTTCTGCTGCAAAGCCTCTCTCTAACAGCTTATGGGGTGAACTCAACACCCTTTTTGATAAGACCAAAAATAACTCACTTCTTAACTGGCTCTACAAAATTCTCATTACTCGAGCATCCAAATTAGATAGACCACAATAGTATTTTTTTTATACACAAGTAAAACGGTTCTGCATATTAAGTAATTTTGNTTGATAAGACCAAAAATAACTCACTTCTTAACTGGCTCTACAAAATTCTCATTACTCAAGCATCCAAATTAGATAGACCACAATAGTATTTTTTTAATACACTAAGTAAAACGGTTCTGCATATTAAGTACTTTTTACATTTGCACATTTTGATTTATGAATTGATTTTAAGTCTGGACTGAAAGTCTACCCCAAAACCAAACTGGTTAAAAGGTAAATGTAAAAAAATGTAATCGTACCAGCTGGAATTCTGAAGAGCTAAATGATTCCACCTGCACTAACGCCTGTACAAGGATGACAAATCAAAACTTTGGTACTACAAAGCACGAATTTTATGAGATTGACAAGAGTGATGACAGGAAAATGCAAGTGTAGTCTTCATCCCAGGTCCTAAGAATCATTGAATCTTCAATCATGTAGCAGAGAGATGCAAGGTTGCATTTGACTTATCTGATTTCAAGTCAGAAGCTAAGGAATGCGATATAGATGTATGCAACTTCATATTATCAGAAGAGTATGCCAATGAGTGATTATGAGCAGATATAACAATAAAACAAGTAAATCATAGATTCCAAAATAGTAGCCGATTTGCCCAATACAAGCCTTAGCTGATTGGGCAAATAAAAGCCCTAATCCAATATCAAGGGCCTTCAAATTAACCACAAGTGACTAGGATTGATTTGCCAGGTAGAGATGATTGGAAGCTATTTAAACAGCTTACCATTGTCTGAAGACCATTAACCAAAACAGCCTTTGCATCATCTAAATCACTTTCTGATAACCAAACTTCAAAAGGGCCAAGTATCCTATCGGTCTGATTCATCAAATTCAAGCGAACCTGCAGATGCAAATAATTAGGTCAGAATTAGTGACTAATGAATGAGAACAGAAAGATGCAATATAAAGCTCTAGTTGGATTTGCCAATGCAACCTCTGCCATTAACAATCACAACAATTCCCACACACTGCTCTAAACAACGATTATATTACTTCAAATTTTTAGGTTCTAACTTAAAATTAGTAGAACAGCAAGCAAGATTTGTATGGGCTAAAATTATGTATAGAGATCTACTTTTCAGCTTCACTTTCTCGGAAAAGTATATCTAGGAACACATGTCTTGCAATCTGAGGGATGAACTGTTGCAACTCCCTCAAATGAATAGATGATGCAGAGTTTTCCAGGAGGCAGGTAAAACAGTAATGTCCAAGTAATATGTAAGATCAAATGTACATCATTTATGAATGCATAATTAAGAAGTGGCCAAATGTACAAGGCTCACGCCGTTGTGGGATTTTGGGAGGGTTAAATGCACATGCCGAAATATTGTTTCTGCAGTAATATAGGAATGTGTTCAGGAAATATTTAATATTGTTTCCGCAATAATATAGGAATGTGGTCAGAAAATATTGATCTTGCACCATACAGACAATATTCTATGCATGGAATAATTCCCCTGCACCCATTTTGAGGCCACTAATCATCTTTTGTTTTGAGGATGCAGAGAACAACTCCTGGGTTAAATAAGGATAAATTCTAGGAAACCACATGGGTAAGGTAAAGTATTGGAATTAACAGAAAAATTAACAAGCATAGGTGGAGTAGGGGAATGAATAATATGATAATAGAGAGAAAACAGAAAAATTCACACTCCAGTATGGTGCTTATTCTCCACTAACAACAACCGGGGTGTATGTTCTCAGGAAGATAGATGGAATGCCACTCCCAGAGAGAGAATGAAGTGAAATTGCTTCTCATGTAAAATCTGAAAAAGGACTTAGAGTCGGTAGTTGTCCGCTAAATTGCAACAGAATCTAAACACAGAAGTGAAATCAGTACACAGATTACCATTGTCTAAAGTTTAGGGGTGATAAGGAGGTGATAAAAACCTACAATTTTTGCAGTAATTCGAATCTTTGAAACTCATGTTCCTTTGCCTCTTCTTCGGGTAAGTTTTCTTAACTTACATATGTTCTAGGCTGAACCATAAACCTGGGTGGTTTGCTCTATTTTTTTTCTTAAGACAGTGAGTCACATCCAGCTACTTGCCAGCCAACCATTAGCTTAAGATCTGATCCAAAGTCAAACCCAGTTTTTATACATTGGATATTACGGACCATTAAAAAATCGTAATTCCAGACAAATTTCTCACAAGGTAAAATGGAATAGAGAGGCAAATATCCAGATAAATGCACTGAAGGCAAAAGTAAATTTCTACCATCAAATATCATATTGTCATTGCTTGGTAAATAATGGAACCCCAGCATCATTGTTCAAGTGAATGATACTTACCAAAAAGGGCTTCCCCAAGATGATAACTGATGGTACCTCCACAGCCTGCAATTCAATTTCTTTGCGTGTAATGGGCTGCAAGGGAGAAAGTAGATGCTTAGAAAAAAAAATTCAACTCATCATGAATAAGCATTCACATATACAGATAGTCTTACTTATCTCCTCAACAATTGAAGTAAGTTAAAGATTCCCCGTCTACAATGACCAAAAGAATCTCGCTTATCTTGATTTTTCCAAACAGTTGAGAAATAGAAAATATGTCAATCTCACACAAGGTTTCTTCCCAGTTCCCACTCCCTGACTTTTGCAGGTCCTCACTCTCCTCCCTCCCGGGGATTCCTTTGCTAAGTCAGACTTACTGATGGGTGAAAAGAATTAAATTGCATAGAAAAAGAAGCAAAAGAAGGCAAAGTGGGATGGCATTGAACACCACAGTTGAATGCACTGAATCAAGCACATTAAGGAATACATTCATATTGGCTATTGCTCCTACAATGGAGCAAGATTTGTAGGAACCCAGCAGCAAAAATTTTAGTCGGTTTTGGTCAAAGTTTGATTTTAGCTGGCTCACATACCCATATATAATAAGGATGAGAGAGAGAGATGTGTGTGTGATGGGGATCGTGTAGGAATTGGATAGATATTATAGATTAATTATGATAGTTATTTAGATACTTTTAATATTTAACTTTTAAGTAATTTCTTTTAACTTTTAAGGGTTTAGTTGTCATTTTGATTATTTATTTATTTTAGGGTTTGTGATCTCCTTATATATATAGGATTTGTGAATTCCTTATATATATAGGGGATACATATTTGTTGAGGGATTAGACTTTGATTATTGATATTGAATGTTCTTCTTAAAATTCTCTCTCTATTCTCATTCTCTTCTTCTTCTTTTTTCATCCTTTTTTTCTTCCCTTCTCATCACTAATTCTTCCCTAATACGATCTACATCAATTTGGTATCAAAGCCCAACTGCGATTCGAAAAAAAAAAAAATTTAAAAAAAGAACGAAATTACTGTTCATCCGTGTACTGTTCATCAAAAAAATACTGTTCATCCAAAAACGTTGTTCATCCGTAAAAGAAAAAAAAATGAGGAAACAAAATTTTTTTATCATATTTCGTCGCTGTAACAGTAGCCTGGTGGGTTAAGTTTTGAACCAAAGTTCCTAGCGGATTTAGCAAATTACAGAAACATCTCCATAAGTCCCAAAAATTGCAGACACATCCTAAGAGGTCTTCAGAAATTACAAAAACACCCTAAAAAATTCCAGAAGTTGCAGAACCACTACCAGAAAATTTCAGAAATTACAGAATCACCACTAGAAGTTTCAAAAATTGCAGAATCATTCCCAAAAAATTTCAAAATTTTCTCTTGATTATGATATACATACTCTTATAGAAATTTGAAACTGATATTTTTATTCATTGAAAAATTTAAAAAATTTGCAAAGAATTCAAATTATTTGTCAATTACATTCTTGAACTTGTTTTGGCATCATTCTCTTGTTCTAAGAGTCACTCATGAGTTTCTCTAATATACATATTTCAAGAATCTCTCCTTAATGTCATCATCATAGGAAGTCAAAGAATGTTTATATGGAGTCAAACCATATGACTAAACGAATCAAAGATCCTTCTACATTTTGTAGTACTCCGGATCCCAATCAATTATTGAATTGGTTAGCAAATTTAGAAGAATATTTTGAATGGCATGGCATGTCGGATTTCTATTGCGTCCGTTTTGCTAAATTGTTGTTGGAGGGTTCCGCCAAGAAGTATTGACAAACAATCCAAAGAAGCCTAGACCCCTTAGGAGAATCACCTATCACTTGGGTTGAAATGAGATATAAATTGAAAGAGAAGTATTTGCCTACTTCCTATATGGATCAAGTTTATGACCAATGGCTCAATCTTAGACAACATTCTTCTAGTGTCTCTGATTACTTTGCCCAGTTTGATTATCTCATGTACTTGTGTGACATTGTTGAAAAACCTTGGACAATTGATCAGTTTATTTTTGGGTTAAGACAAAAAATTAGTAGGGAGATTAAACAATACACTTTTAACTTGTCAAACATCCTTTTGGAGTTGCATCTAACACCAAGTACGAGTTCTTTTCGTAGAGAATTGCTGACTAGTATTTATATTTGTTGGTAAGTCAAACAAAAAAAAAAAACTAAACTTTCTTTGTTTGTTGTTCCCGCATACCACCTGCATAACCTTCTTTGTTTGTTGTTCCCAAACATCACCTTCATAACTTAGCTTACCCAATTTCTTGTTAAATCCATTGTTACTTGTCTCACGTTTATTTGAGCCTCTTTACAATAAGTTTGTTCTTATGTGTGACAATTTGCATTGATTTATAATTTTTATTACTTGGTTTAATTTTTAGTCTAGTCGGCCATTTATATTAACCCAAATTTTACATTACATTCACTGACCCTTCGTGAGCTTTTAGAATCTCATACTGCATTAGAACAAAAATTTGAGACCCTCACTATTGATATGACCGATATTAAACAATCAGTCGACTTGCTACGTGAGGAAGTTAAAGGAATGGGGCAACAACTTTCTCACGTTACTACTCAACTAGCCCAATTGACTAAGTTTATGGAAAAACGACCAATAGACTATGACCAAAGTGAGTCACAAGTTTCACCTAAAGTCTAACCAAGTACCCAATGTTCGACACCTGCCTCTCCTGATAGATCCTACTGACTCATGTCAAGATGTCCTACCCATTCGGCAAGTAGCTCAGGGGAGCTGAATACAGCGTCTAAATAGGAAGACACCTCCTAATACCGCTTTTGGACGAAACGTAGGTCGTAGGAATGTTCAGGAGGATCCCGCTGAGGTAGTCATGTCTGACTATTTAGCAGAGGGTGATATGGATGGTTATCGTGAGCCCTTCCGCCCACGTGCCAGATACCATAGGTCTCCCCCTCCGCGTTACCATAATCCTCTACATAGGCATGTTCACGAAGAATCTAGGGATATCACACAAATAGTCAAAGTGGACGCTCCTAACTTTGATGGTAGGTTAGATCCTGTTGCTTTCTTAGATTGGTTGGATGACATGGATGACTATTTTAATTGGTATGATATATCCGACAACCATCGGGTTCGTTTTGCCAAAATGAAAGTCGTTGGTTTGGCTAAGAGATATTGGTAGGGAGTCCAACGAGACCAAGAGTGCCTAGAGGGACAACCTATTACTTTATGGGCCGAGATGAAACAAAGATTGCGAGATAAATATCTCTCTAATTACTATAAGCGCCAACTCTTGGACAAGTGGATGAACTTGCGTCAATTGACCTCGAGTGTGACTGATTACCTAGCTCGATTTGAAGAGCTTTTTCTAAGATGTGACATAAAGGAAGAGTTTTGGGTAATAGTTACAAAATTCATTAATGGCTTATGATCTGAGATTAAGAGAGAGCTTAACTTATACTCTCCTGAAACAGTTGAGGAAGCATATTATGAAGCCTTAGAGATTGAACAATACCTTAGGCCACCCTTTCAGCGTCAAATGCGTTATCAAATCGGAGAATCTCAACCATCAAGGTCAGTCCCATTTGGTCGGTCTCGAGGTGTCACCCAATCAGGCCCTGTCACATCCAGGGGTAACAATTACCCCAACTTGAGAGGTAATACCACTAGGGGTCGAGATTCTACACTCATAGTTTCTCACCAGGACAGTTCTTCCACAGAGTGTCACAGTTGTCATGGCAAGGGTCATATTGCTTCACAGTGCCCTCAGCATACCTTGACCATTGACCAGGGATTAGAAAATTCACTTGACAGAGAGGATGTTGACCTAGAAGTTGATCCTTTGGATGAGGAACCCTTAGTTACTAGATGAGGGTGAGGAAGAGTGGCAAACCGATGACACCCATGTCAGTGTGATACGATGTATCTTATCCACCCCTTCAGACACAGCAGCATGGAAACGCACCAACATTTTTCATATTCTAGTCCGATGTGGGGGTCAAGTTTGCAAAGTCGTCATTGATGGGAGAAATTCATTGAATGTCATCTCTAAATCAGTTGTAGCTCAGTTGCAGCTTAAGTCAGAGACACACCCACAACCTTACAAAGTCGCATGGGTTGACAAGACCTCCTTACCAATCTTACATAGATGTTTGGTCCCTATTCAGATGGGTGACTATTCAGATCATTTATGGTGTGATGTCTTACCTATGGATGTCGCTCATGTCTTGTTGGGTCGCCCGTGACTTTTTGATCCAGATGTGACAAACTATGGGAGGAAAAATACTTATGTTTTTAAGCATAAGGGGAAAACTATTAAGTTAAAACTTGCGAAACCCTCAGAAAGTAATACTTCAAAGCATAGGTCATCTTCCCCAGTAATTCACAAGAAAGACCTTCACATCTTGACCCATAGAGAATTTGAGAAAGAGAGAAAAGAGTCTGGTATAATGGTAGCTCTAGTTGTCAAAGAAGATGTTCAAAGTCCTCTGGAATCTAAAGATAATCTTTTGCCTGAGGTTGATAGTCTATTGAGAAAGTTCCATGATGTGATTCCTGAGGAACTACCCGATGAGTTGCCACCAATGAGAGATGTTCAACATGCTATTGACTTAGTTTCAGGATCTCAGTTGCCTAATTTTCCCCATTATCGTATGAATCCCACTGAACGTGCTGAACTCCAAAGACAAGTAGATGGACTGTTGCAAAAAGGGTCTGTTCGTCATAGTCTTAGTCCATGTGTTGTCCCTGCTTTGTTGACCCCTAAGAAAGATGGCTCTTGGAGAATGTGTGTTGATAGCCGTGTCATTAGCAAAATTACAGTCAAGTATCGATTTCCTATACCGAGACTTGAAGATATGCTTGACCTTTTGACTAGTGCACTTTGGTTCTCCAAAATTGATTTGCGCAGTGGTTATCATCAAATCCGAATTAGACTAGGAAATGAATGAAAAACCACATTTAAAACCCAGGATGGACTTTATGAGTGGTTGGTCATGCCTTTGAATTGTCTAATGCACCTAGCACATTTATGAGGGTTATGACTCAAGATACTGCGTCCTTTCCTAGAAAAATTTGTGGTTGTTTACTTTGATGACATCTTAATCTATAGTAAGTCTAAAGAAGAGCATTTGGATCATCTTCGACAGATTTTGCAGACATTACGTGTGAAAAAATTCTATGCGAACCTTAAGAAGTGCTCCTTTATGCAAACTCAAGTGCTTTTCCTTGAATTTGTTATTTTTGCGCATGTATTGCAGCTTACCCAGAGAAAATTTGTGTTATTAGGGATTGGCCAGTGCCAAGAACAATTTCTAAGGTTCGAAGTTTTCATGATTTGGCCACCTTCTATAGACGATTTATTAAAGGGTTTAGTTCCATTATGGCTC